TGCTATGGAACTGGAAATTGATATTCCAAATATTTTGGTAATGACCAGATCTCATTAAAGTTGCTGCCAAGTGCTGCTTATAATAATTCTTTTTTTTTTTTCCACCAGCAATTTATAATAGATGCAGGTATTTACTGATGCATTTCAATATTTCAAACATTGTCATACTCCAAATCATGTGTATATAAACAACAAGTATTGCCCAAGAAATAACTGCATGTTTTTGGTTATATGGTGCAGTATTTTTGCAATCTGTTCTAAACTCAGGGTGCATCTTATAGCCAAGTATCTTAGCACAACAAAATATAATTTCCCCAAATTTCCCTGATGATTAAACCTGTCGAAATACCCAAATACCCTAAATAGATAAAGACAAACAATGTTGGTCACTGACAGTATCTAGCTATTAGGTTATTGGGCCATAATTATCAAGCTATGTTGTAATTAATCTGACCTTTACATCAAAGATGTCAATTTGTTCATCCTCACTTTCCCCAAATTCACTGCTGCGCACCACCTTGGCAATTTCATTCCATTCTTTGAAAACCTTCATGAATGCAATAATTAAACAAAAAGTCATTAAATTTAGTAAAATCACAAGTTTCAACTCAGTTGAGCAAGGAATGTGAATAACAATCATCACAATTCCCTTGAATGAATTCTTTTCCCTGAACCTTATTTCCCAACAAATCTTTGAAACAGGCTTAATTACCATCAAGCCAGAAAGCAGTTCACATATTCTTTGTATTAAACCCAGAACTGACTAATTGTACGCTTTCAAATGATAATGACATACTGTAGTAATTATTGCTGGTGATGTTTAAATTAAACACAAGTTGATACTAGGTTATTTTCTTAATTTTGTGACTTGGGCAGATGTTAAGTCCAGCTCAAAATATTTATTTTACATTATGCATGTATATTGATTGACTGCATTTCAAGTTAAAATGCAGCCCAATAGCGTCCCAGTTATAATAATTCTCAGACAAATCCTGGCTTTTGAATTCTAAAACAGTCAACCCATAGTCTTTCATAGTGCTGGCCAGATACTGCTTGGACTGTTCAATGTGAGTTTGGGTTGCCTATGACATATCTAAATCATTATAAAATGTGGGTTGTATAAAACTAAGGTGAATGTATAATTAATACATTCTTCAGGTTGTACCTTATGAAAATGAGCAATCTGTAGTGAAGCTGCCAGCTTTTCCATTTCTAGATTTTCTTCCTGGTTAAGTTTCTGTTCTAATTTTCGCTTCCTGGTTCTCTTATTAGGAGGCTGTTGAACCAAAGGTTGAACAGCTTCACAGGCAAGAAATTTTTGTTCCAGGTCCTCTAGTTTGTTTGACCAAACCTTCACTTCATTCTCCAGGAACTGCTTTAAATCTTAAACGAACAATATTAATAGTAAATTACTGAGAACAAGTAAATGTACTTAGACTGCACCATTAATGTATGAAAGTGATTTTCTAAATATTCTATTTAGTTATGGGCAATGTAAGGTGCAGTGGTTCAACCTATAAACTTCAGGGGGTCCATAAAATGATCTTTGAAATGTAAATGAGATTTTCACTTATGCAGGGACCAAAAGTAAGTTAATTAAAAATTTATGTTAAAAAATTAAGATGGCCCTTGAAAGTTTAATAAATGAGTGTATATGTATAATTCACCTTTAGCATCTTCCAGAGTCACTTCCTTCTGATATTTGCCATAGTCCCTGTTAAATTTTCCACTCTTTAGGATGTCCTCAATATGCTAGATGGAAAATAATATACATGTTCAAAACAGCATAACTGTTATGCATGTACCTATCTAGTAGTAGATAACTAGATAAATGTGCAGCCACCAGTAGATGACCTGCCTGCATTTATATGTACACACACATAGGACTATCACCCCTGGCTACAATAATAATAGTGTACCATTTTCTGTTTTTTGATTGTCTG